TTTTTTTTTTTTAACAGAAGAAATGCCTTTCCGGAAAAAGGTGTGGAAGGCAAAATCTGGGAGTTCAGCTCTACGTCATATGTGTTAGAAGGGTTGGCTACTTAAGTGAGCCCTGGAGGAACAATGGTCCTCAACCTTTCTCCTCCCTAATTGGTACAGGCAGAATTATGTCCCCTCAAATCCGTATGTCGAAGCCCTGAGCCCAGGACCTCAGGATGGGACTGTATTTGGAAACAGGGCCTTTAAAAAGGTGATGCAGCTACAATGAGGCCGTTGGAGATGGGCCCCGACCCAGTCTGACTAGAGTCCTTCTGAGAAGAGGGAGTCATGAGCCCCAGAGGCGCACACGCACAGGGCACCCACCCCGTCCTGATGCGTGGAGGAGGTGCTCACCTGTGCAACCGTAGTTATAGATGTTGAAGGTCAGTGTGTCCATGATGTTCTTTAATCGCTTCATAAGAATGGAGTCAGGCAGCGACTTCTTAAGTGACAGCCCGAAGACTTCGAGGAAGGCACTCAGGGAGTACTGGTACATGGCGTTGACAAGGGCCATCTCCGACAGCACAAAGAACAGGATGGCCCCCCGCCGGGCGGCTGGCCGGTAGCCATCCCGCAGCCTGTCAATGTCCAAGGCAGTCTTCTCCGCCAGCTTGAGTTTCTCGGACACCTAAAGGAAAGGTGCACATTGCCACGGAAACAGGAAGATGGAGACCCATAACCAGGAAGACTATGAGTTGGGCAAGAAAGTAGGAAGGCAGAGGGCAGGAGTGGAGGGGGCAGCGGAGAACTCCAGACAGCACTCACAGGGGCTGAGGGCACCTCCCTCTCGCGAGATATTCGTGTCTCGACTCCCCTGCACCCGTGTCCCCTTCTTCTAATAACGGTCCCTGAGTTCTACTTGGAGACTCACAACTTTCATTCCACATGGGGGTGCTCCACCCCAGCTCCAGCAGAGGGGCCTGTGACTCAGGCCCAAACAATCGACATAGCATCCCCAGGCCACGGGACTGTGTGGGGGCGGGCGTGTAGGTGACGCAAGTGACTCTCAGGACCTTCATGTTAGGGACATGCAATGATTCGCACTCTTCCCTTTGGACTTGCTCCTGAGGGGACATGAAGCCAGACCCATCTTGTGACCATGAGGGGAGCTTGGCTCCATGGGAGGCCGAGAATGAAGCCAGCCCGGCAGAAAGCCCAGCCCAAAAACGGAAAGAAGTCGAGTCTTGAGAATATGCTTGGAGCCCTAGCTGAAGCCATCCTGGACTTT